AATTACTAGGCACCTTGATTTAAGTGTTCTAACTTGTGATTCAAGCAACACCCGATGAAACGAAAAAGACCAATTTGCTAGACTAAAAAAGGAACACTATCATGGATCAACACTTCAAGTTTATTGAATAATGAGGGGTCTTAATGGTACAATCTAAATAGATGAAGCAAACATAATATAATTAAAATGAGAATGAATTACTAACACTTAAATACAAAAGTAATGAACAAATTACTAGCATGAGACTAATCAGATAGCACATACACATAAATCCACAAAAACATCAAAACAAAAAAGCAATACCATACGATAACATGAGTGCAATTTCACTTTGTACAGACCTTCCCAATTACGGAGTAGCTTTACAATTTTGATAGGTGCCACGACCTACCTAACCACAAGGTCTCATTGCTTCATGTCTCTCGGGGCTACTCTAGAACTGTACATCCTATCAACTCTCTATTTAGATGTGAATTAATATATGTGAGCAATCTCTCGAGCTTCCTCTAGTAGGTAGGACATACATGAGAATATGTAAAGTATTACGAAATCAAGTAACGATAAAAAATGGAAAATGAGTGTACATCATGCAAATGTTAGGCCAAGATTATTTTGGCTTCATCAAAATTCTTTATATTCCATTGAGGACGACCTTATTGGCTGATTTTACTTGTTCATTGACCTAGGGATGCACCATCAAGACAAAATTTGTTTGAATTCCCAACTGATCACAAAATTCTACCATGGTTGAGTCGGAGAATTTGTGTCCATTATCTATGATGATTAATGGCAGCCGTCATTACTTGATTTTTATGAAGAAATTTGGGTAAATTCAGACGAAGAATGGTCAAAACCATGTTAAAGTGTGAAGAATTGAGCAAAAAGTCAATACAAGGAATATACAAAGACTTAGTGAAATTTGTGAAGAAAAAATGAGATTCACTTCTGAAATTCTCGTGCGTGCGATGCATCTCATCGCAGTGTAATGATGTTTGCATTGAGGTGCAGTGCTAACAGTCACGGATGCGGTGCATTTTTTTTCTATTAAAAGCAAATTTTGGCCTCTTTTTAAGGGTTCCAGATTACTAGACTTAAAGTGATGACAAAGGGAGATTTTAGGTGCTTTTGTAGGCCATTGGAGAGTCTTTTCTTCAGTGATTTTTCATGTACTTTGAATATAAACTTATGGTATGTTTATATTACATTATGAATAGCTAGATTTCTTCTAGGTTAGGTCTTTTTGTATGATGAACCTACTTTGATTCTATTGGGACATATGAGTGGTTGGTGCTAATGTTATTGCTTTGACATATTGTTATTATGCAATTATCGCTTATGTTCATTGCCCATTGTATGTTACGACATGCAATTTGATCTAGGTAAGTAGTGACATATTGACCGTAGGGTTGCTTATTAGAAATATGATAATTGTTTAGTTCTCTAATTAATAAGGGATAGTCTAATCAAGAATTATGCCTGAGGGATCAGAGAATTAACGCTTAAACTAGTGAGTTGCACACTAAGAGATTGGGTGCAGTGGTAGGTTTAATCCGCCATGTAACTCTTATGTCATTGCATGTTTGTTAATGTGCATTTCATCAATAGAATAGAAGCATGAGATTCTAACAAAAAGACCTAATCGACATTATCATCGTATCTTTTCCAAAGTCAACTTTCTCTTGTTTTCGGATCAAACAAATAATTTTCATAAACACGGAAGGTTTTTTAAACCGCTCTGAATTTAATAAAATACCTTAAAACCTCTAGAAACCTATCAAGGCTTTAGTAGAATTGACTAAAGAGTATTCTTAATCATTTTGGGAAGTATTTTACATTGCCAAATCAATTAAAGATTTATTCTAATCGATTAAAGGAAGACAAAAGATTCCTTAACCAATTAGAAATACTCTTAATCGATTAAGTCATGTAACCATTGTAAAGTTTCCATTTTGGGATTAGGGTTATTGTCTTTTGAAAGACTTTAATCTATTAACAACTAGGGTTAATAATTTAATTCATAAAAAAGTCCATGGATCTTTTCCTTTTTGAGTCATTTCATTTCCTATAAATAGAGGGCTTATCCTCATTTTTTTATACTAGAAATCAAGTTTTGTACTATTATTTCTACTCTCTTCTACTTCATCTTTATCTATTCTTCACTGAATTTGATAGTGAAACATATTTGTGAGAGTATTATTTTACTAGTGTTGTGATTATCTTGTGTAATATCATTAAGATAAGTTGTTTCCCGGTTTTTGAGATTAACTAGTTAAAATATCTATTTGGTTTTTGAGCTCTGCCGGTTAAAAGCTCTATTTAGTTTGGATATTAGTCTGTCAAAATACCTTGTTCGGTTTGGAGATTAGGCTGTCAAAATCTCTTTTTTGATTTGGAGATTAGTCTATCAAAGTCTCTTGGCTGGTTTGGAGATTAGCCTATTAAAATATCTTGTTTGGATCGTGAGATTAGCCAGTTAAAATTTTTGTTTGGTTGTAAGAATGTTCGTGGGCATAACCTACTATTGGGGACACGAGTAGGCTAAGTGGTTAGGTCAAACTTGTATAAATTTATGGTGCATGCTCTCTTTTCCTTATCTCTTTATTTTTTTATTATTATATTTTCTTTACATTGTATTTCATTCTCTCCATCTGTTCTTCATTCTTTCTTTCATTTAATCTGATGGCTATTCATTGTGTGCTTTATTAATATCTCAACTATTTTTATAAACTAAAGTTTTTAAAATTAGACTGAGATTTTTAATCGACACAACTCACCTTTCTTTTGTGTTTGGGGTCACTTGGTCAAGAAGTCATGCCTCCTTCAACATGCCATATAAGATCATGCATTTCAAGGAGTACGTGGCACCTATTATCTCCATCTGAGTATTGATTTTATATGTCACTCTTTTTATTGAAGGCTATAAGGGAATACAATTTGATTTTTTTTTGGAATAAAGGCGTCCTATATTCTATCAGATAGGGTATAGGGATCTAGAATCTTGTCACCCTCTACAGCATCTTCGTCATGTCAGTGTTGTTGAAGATATGTAACACTCGTCTACTGAGCTTCATTAGCGCCACAATTCTTCCATAGTGGTAGACATCTCCATTATGGCTTCATCGTCAATGATGTTGATGCTAGAGTTGCCTCGTCTCACCATTGTGGAAGGATGATTGGGGAAATTGAAGTTCCAGATGAAAGTATGGTCTGGGTCAGTTTTGTTGGACCTTATAGTGAGATCCAAATGTACTTGTGGAAAGTACAATAGAATAGACATTTCCTGCGCTATGGAGCACAAAAGGCTTTTTAGGTTTTGATTTTGTAAAAATTGATTCCTCCTTCCCAACCCCGAGGATTGAGAATTTATAAACTTGACCCTTAAGCTAAGTTGTTGATGAAGAACTGGTCACAAGACCTAACCATTTGGCCTGATTTTGGAAAGTGAGATGGAATCAGTCATCCCTCTTGATATGGAATAAAATCATCCTCTTAGATGACTGAGCCTTGCAGTTATTTATCTTACACATGTCATGACACATCTTCACGTGTTTAAGAATGAAGCACATTGGATTAGACTAGGTGATCCATGCCTCATGCGCATTGGGTCAGATCAGGCGGCGTCACGTGCTCGCTGCATGAGACTGTCCCTCCGTTCCATTTTTTCTTGTACTATTTCTAAATTGAGTGTGTTATGGGTCGACCTCTTTAAAGCCCTAAGAGAGTTATTTTAGTTAATATTCCCTCAAGTATGAGGTCTAGAAGGGTGACATGGTTAAACTAAGACATTTTACTTCAACCCTTAACAAATTTCTCACGGATGATAATCTTAGAGCTAATGTAAGTTGATTTTTAGGTGTGATTTATGCCAAAAATAATATATATATTGCAGTGATTACCTATTTTTGTTCTTGCAGATTTGCTCAAGATAGTTGCCATTATCTTGTTGGCTTATTGAAGTTTAACTTGACTCATAGCTCCACTGATCAAACCCCAAACTATTATGACAAAGGATGGTCCAAACAATGCAAAAATTTGGATCTTGCTTCCATTATTAATATCATTGATATTCTTTGGTTTTGCGAGAATTAGGTCAAATTCAAAACAAACAAAAAAAGCTCTCACTTATAACATAATAAGTCATTGTGCTTATCTATTGAGGAATTTCAAATTCTCAATTATTTTATAATTAATGTTCATTCTCTTAATGCTGACAGGATAAAGTCTTTTGGCATCCCCTTAAAGTTTATTGTATCAAATGTAACACTAATGAAGTTGTTCTTGCTAGTTTAGGCCTTGCTAAATACTTTTGTTGCTACCGACTAATTTTGCTCAAAATCTTGATATCACTGCTACTTAGATGCTGAGTTTATAGGAGTAATGTTGGCTATTGTGATTGATTTCAAGAAAAGAGCGATATTCTCTCTTAATATATGCCTTTCAAGAATCATAACATTGTGATTCGAACATTAAAAAACAATTGGAAGAATTGTGAGGTTTTCATAATTGTAAATTATTATATGAACAAAATTGTAAATTTTTGTGAGTGATTTTTTTTTTATAATGTTTTAATATTTGTAAAAGTTGACAAATGAACTTATAAAAAAGAATAAAAGGAATAGTAAAAAAGATGCCTATCAAACATTTATTATATGAAAACTTATAAACAATCACTTTAACTCAATAAGCTATTATTCCAATAGAAAAAACAGAAAATCAATTAGCATATATAGTTATGCACCCAAAGAGGCAAAATTCAATTTTATTGACAAAACTATCTCTATGAAACAAATAGTAATACCAATATCATCCTTCAAAAATCCTCTCATCATTGTTAAGATTAGCAGTCTCAGACAGGATTAGAAATAAACAAGTAAACAATGAAAAAGAAGAAACTAAAACACTGAAGGAGATTTCAGCATTAAATAACAATGATTAAGGATTAATTCAACATATGAATCAATGTAGGAGGAGGAGAATTCAGCTATATTTCTGAATCCTAGTTACTGCCAATCCTTTCTGATATCAAAAGTGTAGTTGATCTCCAAGTAGCTCTTGTTATCATCATCAACAAACTGAAAAAAATCAAACGAGAAGAAATGCGTCAGTGTCCGTGTATGTGTCAGTACTCACTAGATTAAAATATGATTCAAATTTCAGAAAAGTGGTTGAAGATGTGCACATGAAGTCCAACACCATATTTATTAGAACATTTATTGATGGACTGATGTAGATGCAAAATAGTAAGCATTAATTCAGATTCACATGATTGTTAACTCTTTTTTGTTAACCTATTGCAGCTGGCATGTGAAAGCAATAGAGAGGTGTAGGCCTCCACAACATTCATAGTATTTCAAATAATGTTTCATGAGAAGCATGAGTATATTAAATGCGCAAAAGCATGAACTGATGTAAATGCGAATTTATACCTTTGTCTGAACTCAGTTTCAAAATGTATGCAACCAGCAATAGTAGTGCATGTTTGGAATCACGGTAAGTTTGACAAAATCACAGTGACACAACGATTCTACCAAACGCGCGAGATGTGTTAAAAATTGTTACCTTACTTTTAGCTGTATATGCCCCTCTAGCGAAAATTCCAGACGGTGTTGTCTCTTCAGGCATCTCATGAGTGTAAGTCTCAGCTTGAGGGCTGAAGGTTCCAATCATTTCTTTACTGCTATCAACTGTAACAAACAATAAGGCTCAACAATGAGTGCGTAAACTAAACTCGAACAAGTGAATCGAAACAAGGCCTAAGAGAGATAGAGAGCGATTGATAAGAGTTACCTTTGATACCAGTTTTCCAGACAGTGTTGGTGTATTTGAGACCAGAAACAATGTTATGGTTGACCTGAAAAGTGAAAACCAACCTATAACGGCTACCTTCTTTCAAAGTAAACCATAAACCCTTTGGATTTCCTCCTTCTGGGATCGGAAGAACAATATCAGGTCTACCAGCAGATTTTATTGCAAGGCTCACGATCTTCACATCCGGCTCCAGGGTTTCTAAATTACTCATAATATATACAATCCACAAGTCAGGTTAAGTTTTTCTAAATAAACCAATGGATTTTCATGAGACCAAGTTACAAGACAAGGAACAATGGAATGGTTTTAAGATTCATTAGTACTTGGAATTCATAACATGAAATAATCTACTAACAAATTTTACATCTTGTCTATATAAAGTTATAAACATGTTAGATCAGAAACTCGGTTCAAAACAAACCATGTACAGAAAAAAAACGTAAACAAAGAACATACGAGATTCGACAACAAGGTTCGGCCAATTGTACCTAAAAAAAACGTAAACAAACCATGCAGGCTTAAGGTTTACATGTTACAACTCGTGTTTAAATACAACGGCCAAGCTTACAAGGTTACCTCGAAGCTCGAGCGACTTCAACATTTACCCGTAAACCATGAGCCATACTCAACAAAACAACATAATTACAAGAAAAAACCATTGGGAGCCTATTTGACACATTTGCAATTATCAGATAATGATGGTACATAAATAGTACAACCTTGCAATAATAATCATAATCATTGAAATAACAAACTCATGCTTTAGGATCATGATTCAAAATCATCAAAGAAATGCTTAATGACAATGCAGAAAAGCAATACAAAGAATTAACAAAATGTCAAAATTAGAAACATAAATTGAAAACCAAAATCACCTCCAACAGCATTAATATCAACATCTCCAAGAAGCTGCTCCTTCCACCTCCTCAAGCTCTCATCATCCTAAAACCACAACAAAACAAAGAAAAAAAGCAATTTTTTATTTCCATTTCAGAAATTTCAAAGACAAAAAAAGAAAGAAAAGAAATCAAACCTTATCTTTTTCAAGTTGTTCCTTTAAGGTACATTGTGGACCCAATTCAATCTTCCTATCTTCATCCTCCTCGTCCTCCTCAGTAGCAGCAACCGAACTCTCACTCATGTATCTGCTAAGAGTACCTCCTTCTTCATTATCACTCCCTTCAACACGAGAAGTGTTAGTAATATTATTATTATCCTCTTCATTGGTTTTGTCATTGTCATCCAACCCCATGTTATTTTCAGAATTCGAAACCAATCCTTCAATGGTCGTCACAGACATCAACAGCAAGAACAACCCATCAACGAAAACGACCCAGATGGTAGAATCTTCGAAAGAACAAGAATGGGAAAAGAAAAAGGGTACCTTGGGGTTGTAAAAGAAAGAAAGATAGTGTTTTTGGGAAAAGAAAGAAGTGGGTCAAAGAATCCCACAACTATGAAAGAATAGAAAAATGAGAAAAGTGTTTGTTGCAGAGAGAGAGAGAGAAAAGAAGAAGGAAACGGTCATGTGGTGATCCGAAACAGAGGAAGTTTCAATGAGAAAATATAGTATGAGAGAGAAAGTGTATGTGTGATGTAAGAGAGAGAGAGAGAGAGGTGGAGAGATCGTGAATGTCACTCTCATGTTGCACCATGACCAAGATTTTAGGAAAGCTTTTATTTTGTTTTTCTTTAATTATATTTCTTTTTAGAAATCTTTTTATATTATTACTATGATGATGAACACAAACAAAACTTATTTTTTCATGAAAAATATTTTTATTATGAGATATTAAATTATTTTTACCATTTATATTTAAAGTTATAACATATAGATTGTCTTCATGTACATTTATAAAGTATAACTAGTCTATAGTCAAGGATATTATGAGTATTTATGAATTAGGATTAATATGATTTATTTTAATTCTTTAACTTATCAATTCATTTATGTAAGAAATTTGACTTCATCAATAATAGTTTAGATCATCTAAGAGCATTTGGATAGGATGATAAGAGTTTTTTACCTCTTAAACATAGGTTTTGAATTTTAACAAACTTTGGATACATAACAATGTTACATCTTTTGAGGGGAAGATTCGTCTCTACAGTTGCGCGTATAACATACTTGATTTATGTAACAAAAATCTATGATTTCAATCCAAAATATTTCTTAGCGCCACACCACCTTAACCTTTAGTGGCGATGACACTTCATCTACCATTAGTCAATTTCGAGGTAGCACTCTCTAAATTTTATTTCTCTTTTTTCACTAACAATGTCGAACATCTCATAACAATGATGTCAACTCTCTTCAAGGTTCAAACATGTGTTCATAACAAGCTTGATCTCATCATTTTGTGTACCAATGGTTAAGCTCGTTGATCAAATGAAGAACACTACCAAGAACAACAGCAAAAACTATGGAATCATCTCAATGCGGTCGTGTTGGAATGGATGTATGCCATTGTATCACAATTTATCCTAAACAATGTACTTGCACACAACTTATTTTTCATGAAAAATATTTTTGTTATGAGATATTAAATTATTTACCATTTATATTTAAAGTTATAACTTATATTGTCTTTACTGTACATTTATAAAGTAGAATTAGTCTATAATCAAGGATATTATGAGTATTTATGAATTAGGTTTAATATGATTTATTTTAATTCTTCAACTTATCAATTCATTTATATAAGAAATTTAATTTCATCAATACTAGTTTAGATTATTTAAGTGCATTTGGATGGAATGATAAGAATTTTTTTTCCTCTTATAGGTTTTGGATTCGAATCAAATAATGGGTACACAATAATGTTAGATTTTTTTAGGAAGAGATTAATCTTTAGAGTTACACGCGCATAACATACTTGACTTACATAACAAAATATATGATTTCGATCTAAAACCTTTCTTAGCGCCACACCATCTCTATTTTCTCCAATCTCAATGGTTGATACCTCCTCAACCTCTAGTGGCAATGACACTTCATCGACCATCAGTCAACCTCGAGGTAGCACCCTCCCAATTTTATTTCTCCTTTTCCACCGAAAATGTCAAATCTCTCATACTAATGACGTTATACAATGATGTTAACTCTCTTCAAGGTTCAAACATGTGTTCATAACATGCTTGATCTCATCATTTCACGTACCAATGAGTAAGCTCGTCAAACGAAGAACAATAGCAAAACTATGGAATCATCTCAATGTAGTCGTGTTGGAGTGGATGTATGCCATTGGATGCCATTGGATCATAATTTATCTTAAACTATATACTTGTGATTGATGACTCACTCAAACAGTATTAGAACTATATTTATTGTTTTAGGATTTTTAAAATATGCCACATAAGAAATCATCGGATTGACTTGTTGACTAGATTACTCTTTTTAAGATCTTTCGTAACACTACCCAAATTGTGCAAGATAGGCGATCAAGCACAATGCCTCCTAGATAAAACACTTTAGTTTAAAATTGAAACTATTACTACTTTACAGTAGTTAATAGGTCTAGAAATACACCCTCAAATAATAGTATTTTGACTTTCTTAAGTAATTTCTCAGACTAGACGAAATCCAAATAATTCTCTAGAAAGAGTTCAATAATGTTCATTTGACCATCCTAAATAATTTGTTGAACGAGGAGAATTTAAAACGATTATTCAAAGAGAATCCAAGAAATACTTGGAAGATTCAACGAGTATAAGGAACAAAGAAGAAATTGACCCTTCAGCAATTAGAGAATACATAGTATAAAGAATGAGGAAGAAAAAACTCAAAAGTAATTTTTGGTGTATTTTGGAATGAAACATCCACATTCCTTACATAATGAAATGAGCTAACCAAGGCATGTAATATAAGAAATATGAGACTTATAATTTTTATATTTCTTATATAATTTTGGAAACTGACTATTGTGTATAATTTAAGCAATGTGAGACATATAGTTTTTCTCAATTAACAGAAAAACACACATAGTTTACTAACAATGTAGGACTTAATAAAAAAAATTCAAATTCATCCCCATATTGGAATATTTTTCAAATGCAGGTATTGTTAAGGGGATCCAAGGCAGTGAAGTTTCTTGATAGAAAAGTTGTATTCAACTAATTAGTTGTTTGGTTTTAATGATGACAACACCTGATATCAAATGATATCCAGTGAAGTCCTTCCTTATCTATTGAAGATATCTCAAGCGGTCTAAGATGCTTAAGATGTTCCATCAATTTATCCTCTTGAATTAAGCTATCCTTTAAAGATATTCTTAAAGATTAAGTCATCTCTTTAAAGTGTGTGTGTGTGTGTGTGTGTGTGTGTGTGTGTGTGTGTGTGTGTGTGTGTGTGTGTGTGTGTGCGCGCGCGTGCGTGCATGTTTGTGTGTGTGTGTGTGTGTGTGTGTGTGTGTGTGTGTGTGTGTGTAATTTAGAAACCCTGGAGCCGGAAATGAAGATTGCGAGCCTTGCAATAAAATCAGTTGTTATACCTGGTATTGCTCTTAATATATAATTGGAGCGGTTAAACTCTCCATCAATTAAGTATACAAAGGGAAGAGGAAAAAGGGAGAAGAGACACATAAGCATACTTATTCCATGCATGATTTATTTATAATTCCTAGTTCAATTCTTATAAAAAAATAAGAAGCTTTCTTTAGAGAGAGGTTTTATAAAAATATATGCGAGTTGATTAGATGAGGTCATAAATTCAAGTATTCATTCTCATTTTTCAATAGCATCCCTAATAAAGTGGTGCCTAATTGTTTCGTTAAGTGTTTAGGTCTTATCCAATCAATTGGCTTAGTGCCTCAAACGATTGGGTAGCTAAAATAATTATTTTCAATCGATTAACTTAAGGCTCCAATTGATTGGCACTACTACAAGACAAGCCTTTTGTAACTCCAATATTAAGACAAACATAGTGTTGACCGTGGTAATATATTTATTCTGGGCGCATTTTTTTTAATTTATTAGATGACATGTCAGAACGGTCAGAAGTAGCAACTGTAGTGAAAAGTACACAAAGTGAAATGGTTCGAATCCCATCACCAACAATTAGCCATTTCTCGTGATAAAAAATGTTATTGACCATGTATATCACCACAGTTTTTATTTCCAACCGTGATGAAACATGATATTTATTTATATATAAGAGAAATCATCTAACGCTCCAGCACATAAAAACCGTCTCTCTCAAAACAAAACTCTAACAACTCTTTCACTCGTCTCTCAAAGTGAAACCCTAACAACTCTGTCACTCGTCTCTCTCATATGGATACCACAAAACGAAACCATAACAACAAGTCTTAGCCAATGGGTATTTACTGGTTCGTTTTCTCTGTCATTTTTTTTTCAAAATGTATTTCAATATCTTGTTTCATGATGCTTGAACTTTCTTCTTTTTTCCTCTTATAGGTATGAATGCTTATTGCAATAAAGAGGGCAAAGATAAATTTAAATTGTCAAACTTGTGTCAAAGATCCAGAATTATATCCATTCAAAATATACACAAGTTTGCTGGTCTAAAATTTTCTTCTTCCTTATTTTATTGTTGACACACCATTATGGGACTTGACATGTATGATATGTTTTTGAAGTATTTTATGCCTTGATATGTTTTTTCTATCATGTTTGTTGGTTATTGTTTATTATTGATGAATAATGTTGATGAATATTATTGTTAATGTCTGTTTAAAATACGAGTTTATTATATATTATGTAGTTTGAGTGTTTTTCAAATCCCTTACCAAATATATAACTTCCCAAACTGCATTAGAAAATTATGATATGGTAGATAAAATTGTATTAGAAAATAAGTACACGTTCAATTCTTTACAAGAATTCTTCACACTATTAACTGCATTTTGTTCCTTGATCGTTAGAACTTGATTTTGTGATCCTAGATCTTCAACCACCCCTCTCTCCACCTCTAGTTTTGTTTGTAAAGTAAATAATATTTTGCAAAAAGAATTAGAGTTAAAGGTAGGGGTTGTTGAATAACTAAGATTATTAAACCAAGTTCTTACTGTCAAAGAACAAAATACGGATAAAAAGTTGAAGAACCCTTGTCAAGCATTGAACGTGTACTTATTGTAATATAACTTAAATTTGTCATATTATAATGTTCTAGTGCATATTGGAAGGTTATATGTTTAGTGAGCATTGGCATAATAAGCATTCCACGTAATTTATAATAAACTCAGGCTTATATACTACAACGGTTGTCTAGAACAATCGTTGTTATATATTTGCATTTTAATATACCACAACGGTTGTTTAAAGTAACTGTTGTGGTAGGTA